AACGTCGCAAAAAGAAATGATGAAATTTTCAAATATCAAGTACAAGTGGCCATATTGCGAATACAATTATAGAAAAAAATCGTAGATAACCAATCCCCTTATTTAAACATTACCCTTGTATCAGCAAATATTGAAGTGGAGAATTACCACGCATTCTTCAAAAATATTGAATAATTTGAAATATATTATCTATGTTTGCCTTTTGGAATATAAACTTTTAGGAATAATCGAATAAGTTCAAGAATACAGACTGTTGTTTTTTTAACTATTATACCACAGAATAATGAGAATGCACTATTCAATATTCTACGCATTGGCACGTCAGATATTCAGTACACCCAAGATAAAGATAGAGCATTAGAAATTATAAATATATTATTAGACAGTGGCATTGATGTGACGTCACCCAATGAGGTTAGTATCAAATGTGTGCGATTTAGCGCTGGTTGGGGAAACTACTATTTTGAACATTCTCATGAATGTCTCATGAAAGAAAATTACTAATCACCGTGTTGAAGGCTCAGATTGTCAGCTTCTACAATTCGATTGAGATTGATTCCAAAACAAATGACCAATCACCGCATGTTTTAGTGGTTAAGGCTCGGTTTGTCAGCTTCGACAATTCGATTGAGGTTGATTCCAAATAAAATGGAGACAGACCGATTGATGCATTTGCAAGCTATTTTCACCACAGCTTTTTTGCGGTATATATCAGATGCTGCAAAGAAGTGTACGTTGCCAATAATTTGTCAAAGCTGTCAGTGAGCATGCCCGGGATTACTTGTATTATTTATACACCAACAATGCGACCCTTTTGATTCCTAAAAATGTCAAAAAACTACCCCTTTACCATTAAAAAAATATATAAAAAGAAACCCCTTGACCATTAAAAAATGTCAAAGAAGAACCCCTTGCCCATTTTAACACATAATATATAAACTCCTTCTTAGTAAGTTTCTACTAGTGATTCCCGGGTGTGCACGTTGGCCGTAGTATGTGCGTGCTCCATGTCTATTCAAAAATACCTTCACCTTCACCTTCTTGTTTAAAAGTCTCGACCATCTTGCTTTAACAAATTTCAGTTTAATTCGTGATTTTACGTACTACCGACGAGTGGTGATGTCATAACAGGACGTCTAAATTAAGGGCTAAATGGCTCAAATATCTGGATGTAAAGGTCGTTTCATCATAACCCAAAGTGAATTTACAGTTTGAAGACGAAATTGTGAGCTTGAATTAACATATAACAGTAAATGAAAATCGAATGACAGCTAGCTTGATCTACTCCTTCTTTACCAACTACGTCGTACGGAGGGAAGACTTAACAGAACATGGTGAGGCTGAACATCACTAATTCTTTTCTCCAGATTGTTGTGAGTGAAAATATACTCACTTGATCAACCAATGATTACATTTCTGAATATTCTTACTTTTACTGTTGCATTAGACTGTCGACAGTCAGTCGTACCTAATATTAATCTGTTATTATTAATAAATATTGTGTATAAACGTAATATGCGTGAATAATAAATTGCGAACGCCGGGACAGGAAGTATGGAGTGCCGTTAGGCACGACCGACTGTCCGGTGCTGCAATTCACTGGTAAGATTTCTTACCAGATCCGGGTACTTTCATATGCCAATGAATAGTCGCGCAGATGTCTTATCATTTTATCGTGGCCAATCGTGAAAAGGGCCAATGGTCGCTGGCTACTAGGATAGACCACGACTTACGCGAAGTTTGTTTTTACTCCTATACGCGATCGTGACACTTTCCACAGCAGTTTTTGATATCATGATAAACACAAATCTTGACGATTGCATTGTAAAAGTGCTGGAACGTTTAGACTGCCATAATATTTCTTGCAAAGAATACCAGCGAGACACTATCGCAAACTACACGGAGGGGAGAGATGTTCTCGTCTGCGTGCCGTGTTGTCATTCTTTTTGTCAAAAGCAGGGATCCCCCACTTCCAGTTGCCATTCTCTTAGAGGAAAATGCCTGCGACCTTTCCAATAACTCTCACTTAGTTTGTTGAAATTCCCTCCCGAACTCATCCATGTTTTTATGCAGAGTCGACGTTCTCATCCACATTGTCTGCACGCATATACGAACTGAAAAGATGTAGACCGATCGTCTCTGCCACAACAAATTCGCATGTCGTAGTTTTGTTGATCCCGCGAAACATTCTCCTCCGGTTTTCTATATTTTGTATTTAACTGCCACAAACAATGCACGTTGTTTCCTTGGTTCTAGGCGATTTAATAGTTTTCTTTGCTATTTTGGTTGGAGTGACTGTATTCATTGTGTTCATAACGTGAATAATCAACGTATTCAGGGAGTTATTTAGCATAAATGTGCATACATTATATTAATATAATTTATTTCGTGACGTCAGCATCAACTATGAATTATTCATATCAACTAGAAACCTGCAGACGGGGACAGTCTCTCGGGACTAAAGTCCCTCGCGTAAAATGGTTCGCATTGGCAAAAAACGCGGTCAATAACCTTTTGACATTCCGGTGAAAAACTATTATGCCATCTTTACACAGGAAGGTGAAACGCCTACTGAATTTGCCACATCCAGAATTGGTACTAGAAGTGGTTATTTTGATCAATTCTACAGCGAAGCTGAACATACATTTTTGAAAGTTCAACAGGTATTACTATTTAGTATTTATTTGTATTTGATTGTGTGTAGAAAGTAATTTTTTGTATAAATGTAATCTTACTTGACTTTAATTCTACCATTCACTATTTGGAATATGGCATGTTATAAAATGATGTTTGTTTTTGAATATCCATAATGATCACGTGATACACAACATTGATATGGTGTCCAACATTGATATGGTTTCAAAACATATTATATTACTCTATACCCAAACAAATTGCACGAAGTCAAAATATATTACGTGTTGTGGCTAAACAATAGAAACAGTTGTTCATATAATATTGTTGTTGCAGGAAAGGCGCCATACTGCATTAATGATGGAACCAGGAATACCGATAGATCGGATGAAGCTGTATGTGTGTGGTTATGGTGGAACGGGGAAAACTACTCTCATCAAGTCGTTATTAGAAAATACGAATTGGATTCATTCGTTATTGAGAGTAAGTATTTGCGTATTCTCGTACGCTTTAATCATGGTGTAGTGTAGTGTAGTGTAGTGTAGTGTAGTGTAGTGTAGTGTAGTGTAGTGTAGTGTAGTGTAGTGTAGTGTAGTGTTGTGTTGTGTTGTGTAGTGTTGTGTGGTGTAGTGTAGTGTAGTTTGGTGTAGTGTAGTGTAGTTTGGTGTAGTGTGGTGTGGTGTAGTGTTGTGTGGTGTAGTGTGGTGTGGTGTGGTGTGGTGTAGTGTGGTG